GTCATGAGCGTGTTATTGTTTATTACCACATTTTTTTATACCAACGTCAACAATTAGTAGTTAGGCAATAAGAAGAATACCGTCCGATGTTTTTTGGCAAAGCGCACAGCTTTACAAAAATACACAGAAACTCAAGAGTCTCGTTTAGATTTAAATCAGCAAACATTCCGTCTTTACTAGCGAAACCTCAGCGAATTGAACATATGCGAAACAAATAAGAAAGTGACCTTAAATATATACAAAATAAGTAGAGCGTATACATTCAAAGCGAAGTAAGAAGCACACAAATCTTTTATATATGTATTATTGTACATATATATGTATCTGCATATATATTGTTTAGAAGAAACCAACGAAACGAAAACGGATAATTAGCATAAGCACAAAGCAATTTATATCCACTTTTACAACCTTATCAGTTTCTGTTCGTCCTTGTTTAAATGTATTTTTTAAACATACAATTGTACAATGTATTAAATGTAATTGTATCCATTATACAAATATTTTGCAGCTATTTAAAAATAAAATTTACAAACTTATTATAGTATAATGCCAACTTTTTAATTTTGAATGAGACACACAGTTCGCCGCTATAACAGGGAAATTGCTGCTATCGATAACTATATCGATAAGGCAACACTGAAAGCTTAAACAGCTGTTGCTTCGGCTATTCACATTCGTTTATATATGTATATGTGTGTGCGGAGAAACCATTGATGATGGCTCATAGGAAAATTCAGTAAAAACACTAGAGCTGCAAACGCAAGTAAATATAACATGTTATTATAGCAGCGTGCGTGACAATCAAACAATAGCCGCAATCATATCAAAGACGCGCTGAAGGGTTCGAAGAAACCAAAACAAAATGGAAATGGCAAAAACAAAAGCAAACGGCTGGGCGACTGTTTGTAGTAGCACAAGTTCTGTGCTCAAATATTCAAAATACACGCGCTACACGGAATTGCGGCGCGTCGACGACAACGACATTTATAAATTAGCCACAATATTGGATGTGAATGGCTGCTGGCGCAAGCTAATGTCCATTATACCGAAACGTCTTGATGCGCAGGCCTGCAGCGCACCAGGAGCACTCAAGTATCAAGAAATCGCTGCCAAGGTGGGGCTTAAGTATAACGCGCAACAAATAAGTCTGATTGATGGGACCGCTGAGCGCCTGACGCCCGGCCAAAGCATATCACAAGTAATGATCGACGAGTGGAAAACTTCTGGCAAACTGAACGAACGCCCCACTGTGGGTGTGCTGCTGCAGTTGCTTGTACAGGCCGAGATCTACAGTGCAGCTGATTTTGTGGCCTTGCATTTCTTAAATGGTTCGCAGATATATAGTCGAAACAATATAATGTATATTGAAACTAATCATTTCTATTATGTTTTAGAGCCTAAACCTGATCGCCCCACCGATGGACCAGCAGCGCACATCAGCTTGGATTTGTGTAGCGAGGATCTGAGCGAGGACATGGATGTGGACGATGGTGCGAGCTACCAGCCCAATACATCCGCATTAAATGCAGCCGCAGCACAGGCGCGTGGCACTGGCATGAATTTGGATTACTTCGACAAGCATATGGTTAGACGTGACAAGAGTGTCCCGCAACAGATCGAGAATGGCGCATCCATATCCAGCTCCAGCCCGGTGCCAGTCGCACCACCACGATCTTCACGCTTATCCCGTCATCTTAAGGCCACAACTAGCAATGGGCCACTCATAACAACAAATGAACCCTCATCCTCAACCAACATAAACACGGCTAACATGCCCAATTTATCTATTCTCAATGCAAGTAGTGAAAAGCTCGTGTCCATAAGTGATCAAAATCAAACACAGCCCCCACAAAATATACCTCACCTATCTATACTCAATGGCTGCTCCGAGACAGTATCAATAGCAACGACAGCTTCGTCGCCACTGGATGCTGTCAATTCGGACACCGCCAGCAATGGCAGCTATAATAGTACAAGCACTTCGACAGCAACCGTACCCAATGTGCCTTTGATAACGCTTTTAATTGAAAATTCCAGCTGCGAGATAAGTGGCGCATCTGATGCGACGCCGACAACAACAGCCACAGCAACATCAAAATCGACGACAACGAAAACAGCCCCCGATATGAGCCATAATAATTTGCCAGCGATAAGCGCATTAAATTTGAATACCGTGCAACCCGATGGAAACGAACCCAAAGCTCGCAGCGATAACGGGCGTAACAATAGCAGTGGCACAAACAGCCTTAGTGTTGACGATGATGAAGACGAGGAAGATGATGACGAAGACGATGATGTGGATGACGAAGAGGCGGATGGGTCATTGCCCAATCTGAGCAATTCTGAGCATCATAACTCCAATAACGACTCAAGTCTAACAACAGTAACCGGCACCAGCGGCGATAATAGTTTTGAGTTGACCAACGACTCAAGTTCGACATCCAATGATGATTACACCAACAATATTCCGAACCTGAGTGAACTACAGCAGTAAAGTAACCGTCCATTAATACGCACTAGTTTACTTTCTGCAAGCCACGCACACACATTCCATAAAGCACATCAAAATATCAAAATATCTGTTAATGTATGTGGTCTGTCATACCTATTTTATATTGTTTATGTATCAAAAGTTATGTACATAATGTCCGCATAAAGTCTAACGCAAGTTGTTAACTGCCTAGTTAATCATATCTCCCTAATTTAAACATAGCTTCCATGACACCCAATGAAAATATGATTTCATTAGGCAAAAGACATTTAATATTAAAATTTATTTGCATCATCAGACAATAGCACAATTCAAAAGAAAGTTTTGTATTGAGAATCTTTTTACAGAAATATATACATATTTATATTTAATACACTAAAGATGGAAATGAATTTAATGATATATGCTATATATTTACTGTCTATTTTTATGGTTCTAAGAATATTAGGAAAGCTTCAGCTGATAATTAAAAAATAAAAAATATATATAGTAAAGAAAACAAAATGACAATTTAATATAGCGACGCACTCAAAAATAAACTATCGAACACGATAAATCAAAGGCAACTCTGCGTTTGCGACACATCAACAATAATTGCGCATCTCTAATTTAGACCCTGGACTTGTATATTTCATTACTGGTTTTTGTTGAATTTTTCAAAATTTTTCGTAACATGGATGAGTCGGAACTGCTCTTCAATTTGTTCTACTTCCTATTGTGCATGTGCGTCATTTATCCGCCCGAGGAGTTTCAACGCTTGGGCTTTACTATTGAGCAGGTGTTCTCTTCCTTCCTGGGAGAGGAATATCAAGATTTTGTTGGCTACCATCTGCGCCGCACATCTCTGAATCTCTTTGTGCATAGCTGCCTGCCTGTCACATATTTTCTAATACACAGACTGAAGTTTTCAGTTTTCGCCACACAACAACCGCTTGAAGATAATGAGCTTGACCCGGATTTCCCTATGCCACAGGAGGCTGTGGCCTTCAAAACGCTCACCTGGAAGATGGCACAACGCTTCAGTGTACTAGCTATGCTAGCTGTCCCGGCGTTGATATTTAAGTGGCATCAGCAAAACTGGCGTCGACATCCGATAAACAAAACCCTGGCAAAATACTCAAATACCCCGGGAAATTACAGCTCCGTTGCAAGCGACATTAACACCGAGTTTCGCCGTCAAGACATCTACAAAAAGAAACTCAACTCTATTAGCACGGTAATTGCCACGGAAAACTGGATTATAAAAACAACCATGTACAACGTTAACTTTGCGCACCAAGCCAACACTTCTCTCAGCGTTGCCAAGGCAAGTAAACGACCCGAAGATGGCGACATGTTGTAGATAATGAATAATATCAATCTATTTCAATTTTAGGCGGAGACTTATAATATATCGCATCACGATCAGAACGACACCTTGCAAATGATAAGCATAGTTGTTCAACCGATGCGTCAAGGTGTTTCTGATTTTAACATTCGCATAAATGCCTTAGAGTTTCGTAGTTTAGAGGATCGTCTTCGACGGCCAATTACCATACCATCCAACATACAATTTCATCGCAGCGTCATCGATCGATTTGTAGACGTATTCAAAGCGCAGGTAGCTCTCAATCCTATCTTCAGCTCGGAGCCCATTACAGACAAGTGCTTTGCATGCATGCTGGCGGAGCCGAATATTAAGATAAACAAGCAATGCTCCGATTTGAATCGGGCTGGCGCTCCTCTAACAGATGAGGCACGCTGCTCCAATTGCTATTGTCGTCCCATGTGGTGTGTGGAGTGCTTGGCGCGCTGGTTTGCCGCCCGTCAAAGCGACATCGACCGTGAAGTGTGGCTGGAGCAGAAGTGCACCTGTCCCATGTGTCGGGCCAAGTTTTGTGTGCTCGATGTCAGCTATATTCGACCGACGGCGACAACCAGTGCTGACGAAGATGCCTCATGATTTCGCTAATAAGAGTAAACGGCTAAACAATAATCTTATGCTTATAGATACGTTTTAAGCACTGAATTTTTATTAAAGTTAAGACAAATATACATATGTGTATATATATAATATATTGTAATGTGTATAGTTAAAGATATGCATATACGATTTAGTGCAGTTATCACGATTTAATACTTGTATAATCTAAGCAAGAAAGAGATAATAATGTTCATACATTTACCTATTTAAAAATATATATATGTATGTATATATTTAAGTACAATGATCTACTTCGACATATGTATAATTAGAGAGTGCCTAAGTTAGCCCCTAATCTGTTCTATACTCTACTACAACTAAATAGCTGAAAATTCTAAACACCCAAGAAAGCCTTGTTAGTCTTCCTTTGTATTGTTTTTCCTTAAATTTTTCCTTCTGATTGTGAATTTTGCACATTTTATTTAGTTCACATGTTGTGCGATAAACTCTTGGGTTGATCCAATAAAGCGTAATACAAATATATAGTACATATAGCTGTATATACATATTTATATATACATATATGTATATAGTATATGCATATGTATGTCAAAGTATATATATAACCCTGCTATTATCTATAAATTGGTTTCGTAAAAACTTTTATAGCTCTCCGTTTTGTCACGTTGACTTCGCACCGACGGCGCCGCTGCATTATTGCCGCCCGTTGTTGAGTTTGTTGTATTTGAATTATAGGAGGACGATTTGGACATGGCGCTGGTTGTATTGCGCGCTGAGATCTGCAATAAATAAAACGAAATCAAATATTAAACAAATATACAAACATTCAATAACTCTTGAATATCATTATCAGTTAACAAATTGAAAGTCTATTTAGATTAAGTTTTCACTTGGCTTTCCAGCAATCAGAGACTCTGACTTCTCGAAAAGTAATCAAAAGACATGTTCAAAGTCATATTTTTGATTTAGCACCTGATTTTAATCAAGTACATGCTATCGACATGCACCCAATACATACATACAAACATACATATAGTATATACGTAAATATAATTCTCGGCTGGAGTTTTTTTTGACAACTGGCGGCAACAGAACAGCCAAGCGTGCACAACAACTTACCTATATGCTATATATGTGTGTAGGTATGTATGTTCATAGGTGCTTTTCCCCAAATGGAGAAACCAAAACAGAAAAAAGGTTTGCCTTTGTTTTTGCAATCTCTATTGTTAGTTGCTGATAAGGTTTTTGCGCTGTTAAAGCGCAATGAAGAAAATTTTGCAATATCTGATATAGGTACAAACAATATTGTTTGAGTGCTTTCGTTGGTAAAACCTTGGCCATAATTCATGCTTTACTATTATCATTATTGACACACACATAAACATACACATAAATACACCCATGCGAGATATGTATATAAGCCAGAGGCTTTTTCATATTTCGCATGTTATAAACCAAGAGGACGTCACGAGAAATCAAGAAACTGCTAAAAACTAATTTAAGTGAATATAAAATCAAATACTATGAGCTGAAATACTAAATGAAGGTCTAAAGATTGTTTAAATATAACTTATACGCCATGTTGCTCTACTTCTTGAAGTTTCATTATAAAATAGCAGACTTTTAGAAATAGTTAGTTTGATTATTTATCAAGGCAGAAATGCTCTTGAAATCCACTTTTAAATTCTAATTTATTAATTAAAGTAGTTCGTTGATCAAATTTTAGATAATCATGAAAGCTATAATTCTTTAATATTACTTATGCGTCATGTGGTCTAAGCCGAAGTAAATTATGGCTTAGAGATATGTATTTTTAATACTCTTATATCAAAAAGACTATTGAAAACTTATCTCGTTAGTTTAATTTATAGCTAGCTTATAAAATTCAAGCAAACACCGCTCGACACATGTCCTATCTGGACTAGGTTAAACAGGTGTAATAAAGCATATTGCGATATTTGTTATACTTTTTCGTTGTTGTTTATTTTCTGCTTTTCATAAAATGAACCAAGTTCAATGCACAGACGACAATGACGCAGCAAGCACGTTTGCCGCTGACAATCAATCGATCGACCGATCGTTCGCTCACTGCATTTGTTGCGTAAGTAAAACAAAAAAAAGGCAGGTGGAACACCCTCAGGTTGAGGCTTTACCCCTCCTCAACCACTGACCGACCGGCTGGCCGGTTCACTTGCCAAAATTAAACAAAGACGCGTGCCGATGACAGAAACAAATTTTGTTTTCATTTATACGTGTTTCTTCTGCTTCTTATGGCAATGTATCTGGTTTCGCATCCATACATGTGTATGCATATATGTCTGTATGTATATAAATATATCTTCCTTTTTTGTAACGAAATTTGAATATGTATCATATGACATTTTGTTGAATGCGCTGGCCTTACTCATCTTACAGCGGCGCCAAAAGAAATAAAGTTTCCAGAAAGGTGTGTTTGTCGGTCGCTATACATATAAACATATGTGTACATATATATATATATATGTATGTATATTGATCTTACTTTATTTGACTTGCACCCGACTGAGTTTTATTCTTGTTTTTTACTTTCTCTGAATTTAATTCTCGTTTTTTTATCACCTGCAGATATAATGTATTTTTAACTGCGTTTTACACCAATTTTGTTCTTTTAATAATTTATATTTTATATAGCTCTTTTATGGCGGCATAATGACCAATTACAAAAGATGTTTTGCTAGGCTCTAAGGCAGCACACTCCGAAAGATGTGCGACGTAGATATACATCATATATAAAATGGAGAATTATGAAGGCCAAGAAATTGATAGCAGGAAAAGTACCGTCAATAATCTTATCTGGTCTATAGGAAGCCAAACTTGAAGCAAGAGCGATTTGCACTAGTTCTGGCATATCTAAAAGTGACTTCATTTTTTGCCCTATTAGTATAAAGACTAAAGGCGCCTTCTGTTTGTATATGATTTATAATTTTAAGCTTGGCAACCTTTTCAATTATTTTTTTGTGCTTGTGCTGATCATAAACAAGTTTAAAGTTTTTTGCCACTTTTCCACTGAACAACACGCTGTCTCCTAATTGCTTTAATTACGAATGAGTAATGTTAAGTAAATATATGCATATATATGTATATATATAATTATAAATAATTGTACATATCTCTACTTTTGGCATCGAGAATGCACTTATTTTTATACAGGCAGCTCGAGAAATGGTAAACATTTGTCATCAGCACTTTTTATACGCCTTGTAGTGATAGGATATATATATAAATACATATATCATATATCTCTTTACATACATTTTTTTTATACATATGTAGATAGGATAGTCCACAGTGTTCATAAATAACGTCATAGAGCTGATTGCATACACAGTCTTATCATAATAAACCAACTTCCGTTTTTTATTAATGAGCATTTCCGTTTTTTATATCATTTGTTGTTGTTGCTGTTTCTTCGATTCACATGAAAAACCAGCAAAAACTTGTAAACTGATATTTGGACTTTTAAGGCAAAGAGAAAAAAGCCCCAAAACCCGTTGCTAACACATATATGTACGTACATATGTATGTATGTACATATATTATATTCACATATAAATCACGTTAACACTTATCATATCAATATAATATATCGTTATATTCTATTTTTGGAGTGTCTGCTGATAAGTAATACAAATACAAATACAAATACAAATACAAATTCAAGTGCATATACAAATACAAGTGGAAATGGAAATGGAAATTGAATTGAAAATGAAAATTAGGTTATGGGCAGGTGCAAAAACTCACCTTATCATTTTCCTTGCCATCAAAGAGCTTGCCGTCGACCACATCCCGTTTCTTGTTCTTCGATCTGAAGCGACCCGAACGGGATATTGTGAAATTGCGCCATTGATGTGAATATTGATCGCCGCAGCGTTTCTCCTCCTCATTCAAAATGCTATCCAGATAGTGGATCGGCTCGTGGGCAGCAGTCATTGTGTTGCTCATCTTTGAAGGTGATCTGGGACGATCGTGGGATCTGCTTGACTCAGGAACAGTGCTTATCGTGTGTGGCCCGTTGCAGTTGTGACAACAACTCGATTCGCTTTCAAAACATTTCGTTTGTTTTATTTATGATGTCGAGGAACCACCGAACAACAATGCCGACAACTCGCATATACTACGTGCTATATAGTATGTGTACAATCGTATATTCTACATACATATGTTTTTTATTTTTAGTTAATACAATATTTATTGTATTCTTTGTTGGCCTGTATTTAATTATTTTATTTTTTTGTTTGTTATCAAAGCGAGGCGTCGCTGGCGATGCGTATTGGTAGCCGGTGCCCGTCTGACTGCGGAGTTGCCGACACAGCGCTGTTATTAACCGTAGTCGCTGTCGTCGCACACAAATGACAACGGCGACAGCAACAACAACGGCTCAGCTGCAGCAACAACAATACAGAGTCGACAAGCAACACGACTGACTCCCAAGCTTCAGCGATTCGTTACGTTATGTGTACGCCCGCCTTTGGCCCCCAACGGACGTTCGTTCAGTCACAAAGAACAAACGCAACCCGTTGGAGTTGTAGTTGTTTCTGCTGCTGTTGCTGTGCTTATTGTTGTTGTTGTTGTCACTGTTGTTGTTGGTGTGACGACAGCGAAAGAAAGCAGCAAGAAATCTTTCAACTGCTGTGAACGCAAGACCGTGTGATTGCTCCTGAAAAGCCAAACAGGTGGGCTACACACACACACACTCGCACACGCACACACACACACACATACAGCTGCAAACACCTTGGCAGAGGCATATATAAATCATCCGTGTCTGTGTGTGCGAATATTACCTGTGTATTGGCTGTGCTTCACTTGATGGTGAACAGTTGCAGCTAGGCAGACTAGCCTAATGCCCTACGAGGTGAGCATTTGAACACTCAAGATCTTAACGTAGCACTCCAATAAAATACATATATTGCAATATTATCTATTGCGTATATATTTAGTTGTCATAAATCTTATCATCATCATTAGCCATCTCGATTGCCGTAGATTGCAGCGCAGTGCAAAAGTCGGCATGGCCCGTTAGAAGTTCTGTGTGTTTGCTATACATATGTATTTTCTATATGTACACACAGATATCATCTAGCAGCAGCAACAGCAGCAGAGGCAGCAGCAGCAGCAACAGCTCGTGTGTTGTCGATGATAAGCGCAAATAGACAAAACAAACACTCGAGTCGCTAACAATTATAAATGATTAGATCGCTTTTTGGAGCATTCACTTTGTCCGGGTCTTTAACTGTAACTTTTGTGTGTACAGACATTCATACATGTATGTACATATATACATATTTGATAGATGTGATGATGTTGCGGCTTCTCTTGTGCAGCACCTTAGAGCCATGCTTAACAGTTCGCTACACACACATATATAACTATATACACATATATGTAGACATGTATATCTACATACATATAGACAATTGTTACAGAGCGGGTTCATTATCTCGATGACTCAGGGCGAGTGGCTTACAGGCGTGCTTTAAAATAAATTATTCACACTTTCTTGCTGCGACGGCTGCAGTGCGAAGCTTATCTAATCTGGTCAAGTTGAAATAGCCTCTACACTTTTCTCATTTTGGGTCTTAGATCTGAAGTACAGACATTGGCATCATTATAAACCCACCCACAGCCAAGGGCTTCGGTTTTATTTACATAGGCAATTTTGTAGTATTTGTTGTTTACAAAATGTTAACATTAATTCAGTTGTGTGGAAGCATATAGCGTAATATAGGTGTAAT